CATAGTCACCAAGCCCTTGTCATGGTCGGATCACTCTCTCCTTTGCCTTGACCTTCAAACCGCGGTACCCCATTGCAGGGAGGCGGAACCGATAAGATGGTACCACCCCAGGCGCCTGATGGAACCTGATAGGTTCCAGATGGAGCTTGGGCCAATCCCCGAGGATCTCGCTCACGCCTTGACTGGAGACCTAGTGGCCGCCTGGGACAGGGCAGCTGCTGGAGCTCTGGATCGAGTCGTGCCTTTGCGGCCTCTGACCCGGCGCCAATCTCACCTGGCTCCTTGGTTCACCGAGGAGCTGAGGGAGATGAAGCGCCGGAAAGGACGCCTAGAGAGTAGTTGGAGGGCTAGTCTTTCTGAATCGGACCGGACACTGGTAAGATCTCATATTAAGAATTACCTAGTGGCAATAAAAGGAGCAAAATGTACCCATTTTGCTGCTCTTATTGCATCATCAGATAATCGCTCGGCCACCCTGTTTAGGGTGACCTGCTCCCTGCTCCACCAGGAAGCGCGGGAGGACACCTTGGAAGGAAGAGCCAAGGATTTTGTTCAATATCTGCATGACAAAATCACTCAGATTGGGGAAGGTCTGGACTCCGACTGGGTAGGTCCAGCGAGGGTGACGGAGGCAGGTCTTGAGAATGTTATCTGGGATGAGTTTGATCCTGTGATCGCAGATGACGTGTTAGCGCTGGCTTCCCGGGAGGTGACGCGAGGCTGGCTCCAGGGGATTATAAATGCTTCATTGGGTGAGGGTGCCTTCCCTGCCGCCTTGAAGGAGGCAGTGGTGAGGCCTCTCCTCAAGAAGCCCTCCCTGGACCCAGCAGTATTGGCTAATTATCATCCAGTCTCCAACCTTCGCTTTGTGGCGAAGGTTGTTGAGAGTGTGATTCCGCGACAGCTTCCAGTCGGGTTTCAGGCTTGGGTACAGCACAGAAACGGCATTGGTCGCGTTGATTGATGATATCTGGAGGGCTCGGGACAGGGATTGCTCCTCTGTCCTGGTCCTGTTAGATCTCTCAGCGGCTTTTGATACAATCGACCATGGTATCATGCTGCACCGGTTGGAAGAGTTGGGGATGGGAGGCACCGTACTATGGTGGTTCTCCTCCTTTCTCTCCGATCAGATGCAGTCTGTGTTGACAGGGGGGCAGAGGTCGACCCCGAGGCCCCTCATATGTGGGGTGCCGCAGGGATCGGTCCTCTCGCCCCTTTTGTTCAACATTTATGTAAAGCCACTGGGCGAGGTCATCTGTAGTTTCGGGGTGAAGTACCATCAGTACCGTGACGACACCCAGCTGTACATCTCCACCCCGGACCACCCCAACAATACCCTTGAAGTGATGTCCCGGTGCCTGGGGGCCATACGGATCTGGATGGGGAGAAACAGGTTCAGGCTCAACCCATCCAAGACTGAGTGGCTGTGGTTTCCGACGTCCCGATATAGTCAGCTGGTGCCATCGCTGACTATTGGGGGCAAATCATTGGCCCCCAAGGAAAGACGCAACTTGGGGGTCCTCCTGGATTCACGGCTGTCTTTAGAAGAGCACTTGACGGTCGTGACCGGGAGGATTTTTCATCAGGTTCGCCTGATCCGCCAGTCCCTTTCTAGATCGGGACTCCCTACACATGGTCACTCATGCCCTCGTCACCTCTCGTCTGGACTATTGTAACGCTGTCTACATGGGGCTCCCCTTGAGGTCCACTCGGAGGCTCCAACTGGCGCAGAGGACGGCCTCGCGGGTGGTTATGGGAGCGACGTGGAGTTCCCATGTAACACCTCTCCTGTGCGAGCTGCACTGGCTCCCGGTGGCCTTCCAAGTGCGCTTCAAGGTTCTGGTTATCACCTTTAAAGCGCTCCATGGCTTAGGACCTGGTTATCTACTGGACCGCCTGCTACCACCAATAGCCTCCCACCAGCCAGTACGCTCCCATAGAGAGGGGCTCCTCCGGGTGCCGTCGGCCAAACAATGTCGACTGGCGGCCCCTAGGGGGAGAGCCTTCTCTGTGGGGGCACCTACCATCTGGAACGAGCTCCCCCCGGAGATACGGAGGATCCTGGATCTGCGGACCTTCCGTCGCATGCTTAAGACTTTTTTATTTCATCAAGCTGGCCTGGCCTAAATCTTCTCCCCTTTTTAAATGTAAATTTTAATTTGTTTTTAAATTATGGAGTATTTTAAATTTGTTCAGCCAAATTATTTAATTCGTTTTTATTTTATTTTATTTTAAATTTTTGTATTTATGTGTTTTATCTTGTGGCTGTTCACCGCCCTGAGTCGTTCGGGAGAAGGGCGGTATAGAAATTTAATAAAATAAAATAAAATAATAAATAATATTGCATATTGCCCCCAACAATCTGAGTCCTCATTTTACCCACCTCGGAAGGAAGGAAGGCTGAGTCAACCCTGAGCCGGTGAGATTTGATCTGCTGATCTGCTGAACTAGCAGTCAGCTGAAGTAGCTGCAGTACTACACTCTAACCACTGCGCCACCTTGGCTCTTCGGGGAGGGCTGGAACCATCACTAAGTGAACTGCCGTAACTCGGGGATTACCTGTATCCTAGGATGCTCTGAGTGACATTGCATGAGGCCTTTGTTCTTAAATTGGATTGGGAGAATGCTCTTCCATGGGTTGAGTGTGAAAGTTCTGTTCTCACATAATTTTGGAGGTTTCAGAGGACAAATGACAACACACTTCTCTTACATCACCTCCAGAGGACACAAAAGCACACCTCGTTCTTTTCAGTCTCCACAGATAAGTTCAAATAGAAATGGAAAAATAGAGATAAGAAATGGCGCTGGAAATCCTACTCAGAAAGATTAGAGATAACAAAGAAATCAAAGGATTACAAATTAAGAAAGAAATTTTTAAAACACAAGCCTTCGCAGATGACGTGGCCTTAATAATGGAAGATCCCTTGAAATCTGGTCCCAAATTACTCCAGGAAGTACAAAAGTATGGAGAAGTCGCTGGCTTTAAGCTTAACAAAACTAAAACTAAAATTTTAGCAAGAAATATGACAGAGATAAATAAGAAAGAGCTAGAAAAGTCCCTAGAACTTCAGATAGCAAAGAAAATCAAATATTTGGGAATTTGGATTACTGCAAGGTATTCCTCCTTAAAAGAGGACAATTACAATCCATTACTATAAAAAATAAAGCAGGACGTAGACAGATGGAAGAAGTTAAAACTGTCCTTTACAGGTAAGATTTCAGCAATTAAAATGAATATTCTCCCCAAGATTATATTTCTATTTCAAACTATTCCAGTGAACATTGATAAAAAATATTTCCTAGATTTGGAAAGGAAGGTGCGAGACTTTTTGTGGGAAGGGAAGAAGGCAAGGACTGCATATAAAACACTGCAAGGGAAAAGAAGCATGGGTGGCTTCGGATTACCCGATTGGCAAGTTTATCAGAAAGCGGCCAAATTAGTATGGATCAAAGAATGGGTTTCATTACAAAATAAGAGAATCCTGACGTTAGAAGGCCACGATCTACAGGCAGGCTGGCACGCTTATTTATGGGGCCCAAAGAATAAAAAGAACTCATATTTCCATAGACACAAATTAAGGGAGACCCTGATTCAAACATGGGAAGAAATTAGACAAAGATTTTATACGAAAGTACCGATTTGGCTCTCAATTATGGAGGCGTTGATTACCACTAATAAAAGGGATATCTTGAAATTTGGCACGTACAAAGATATATTAGATGAAAATGGTATTCTTAGATCACGAGAAACCCTAAGTAATCAAGGTTTTAATTTAGACTGGTGGAGCTACCTGCAGATAAGCTCTAGATATCAAAAAGATAGGGATCAATTTGGTATAGAGACGAAGTACAACAATTTAGATAAAATTATGCTGGGGATTGAAAAGAAAATGCTAGCGAGATTTTACAACCTCTTATTAGGCGAGGACAGAGCAGAAGGAATAGCTAGGAATCAACTAAGCATTTGGGAAAAAAATATTGGCTACAGACTAAATTTCAATGACTGGGAGGAGGCTTGGAATAGAAATTATAATCTTACTAAATCAGCAATTTACAGGGAGAACCACTATAAAATATTTCACAGATGGTACCTAGCCCCAGCTAGACTAGCAAAAATACTTCCCAGTGCCTCAGCAATTTGTTGGAAGTGTGGAAAGGAGGTCGGCACCTTCTTTCATATGTGGTGGTCCTGCCCAGAGACAAAAAAGTTTTGGACAAAAATACAAATTTGGCTACGAGAAATAGTGGAAGAAGATATAAAACTATCCCCTGAAATCTTTTTATAAGGAATGATGGGAGACGGACTCTCTAAGGACAAGATACAATTAATTATACATGTTATAACAGCGGCCAGATTAACCTTTGCAAAATACTGGAAGGATAAACAAACCCCTCCAGAGATGACAATAATAAATAAAATCCTAGAATGCACAGAAATGGCAAAATTAACTTGTGTTCTTAAAGACGATGAGAATTCAAAATTTAAGGCAGTATGGGAAAGGTGGTACAAATGGTGGAATAAGAGAACAAGACTATAAGGATATGTCTATTTCTAATAATGATAGATTTGAAGATACTTGATATGTACATAATGTAAATATGTAATCGCACGACACCTCAGATGTTAACTGAGATTTGATGTTTTCTTTTTAAAAAACTTTTTTAAAAATCAATAAAGTATTATTAAAAAAAAGAAAAAGAAAAAGAAATGGCAGAGAAAGCATCTAAGCCAGTGGGTCTCAACCTTCCTAATGCCGCGACCCTTTAATACAGTTCCTCATGTTGTGGTGACTCCCAACCATAAAATTATTCCTAAAACCGTTGAAAATATGTGTTTTCTGATGGTCTTATGCGACCCCTGTGAAAGGGTCATTCGACCCCCAAAGGGATCCCGACCCACAGGTTGAGAACCACTGATCTAAGGAAAGAGACATTAACTCTTTCCTTCCTTGGAGTACGAGAAGATCCGTTCCTTCTCCCTCCCAGGAGACGATATCTGATTAGTGGTTTTTTAATAAAAAAATTAACTATAATTTGTCTTCTTGAACTCTCTGATTGGGGACTAGAGAACTCTTACCCAGAGAGGCCACGTTCCTATGGTTTTCAAGCATGACTTCCGAATGCAGCGCTTTCTGGTCAGGATCCAGCTGAGACCATTCCTCCTCAGAGAAAGACACAGCCACCTCCTCGAAGGACACGAGACTCTCCTGAACACGGAAAAAAGAACAGAACAGGAGGATTCGCAAGATCTGTTCATCTTCATGAATGATTTAGACAAGAGGATAGAAGGGGAACTCATCAAATTTGCAGACAAGACCAAATTGACAGGAATAACAACACACAACAACAAAGAAAAGCTCAAGATATACAAGAATCGATGGATTGGGCCCCATCTAACCAAATGAAATCAACAGTGAGAAATGTAAGGTTCTACATTTAGGAAAGAAAAACCAAATGCACTGGCATAGAATAGGTGATACCTGGCACAACACTAGTAAGTACGACACTGATCTTTGAGTCCTAGTGGACAATCACTTAAACATGAGTTAGCAGTTGCTAGAGTTGCAAAAAAAAAACAAAAAACCAAAAGAATCATAGGCTGCATTAAGAGGGATAGAATCAAGATCACATGAAGTGTTAGTACCACTTCAAAAGGCCTTGGGAAGACCACACTTGGAATATTGCATCCAGGTTTGGTTTTCAGATGTAAAAAATATCTTGACTCTAGAAAGAGTGCAGAGAAGAGCAACAAAAATTATTAGTGGACTGGAGGCTAAAACATATAAAGAACGGTTGCTGGAATTGAAAAATAGTTTCATGAAAAATAGGACTAGGGCAGTGACGGTTAACTTTTCTTCCTTGGGTGCCGAAGGCACGTGCACGATAATGCATGCACGTGGCCACACCCACAATGGAATGCCCCCCCCCCGTTGCAGGGGCTGTCCCCCCCCACATGCACACGTGAACCTCCCCTGCTGCTTGCCCCCCTCTGCATTCACACACACACACACACCCCGCGTGCTCCCTTTTGCGCCTAGCAGGCCTCCCTGAAGCCTCTGGAGGCCGGAAAGGGTTTCCTGGAGCCTCCGGGAGGATGAAAACGGCCCATTTCTGGACTTCCAATAGGCCTGTATTTCACCCTCCCCAGGCTCTGGAGGCTTTCCTGGAGCCTCTAGGAGGGCAAAAACCCATTTCATTTTATTTTTTCATTTTATTAAATTTGTATACCGCCCTACTCCCGAAGGACTCAGGGCGGTGAACAGCCATAAAATAAAACATATAGATACAAAATTTAAAATAGAGATAAAACTAATTAAATAAATTTGGCTGAACCATTTTAAAACCCCAATAAATTAAAACCAAATTTAAAATTTCCATTTAAAAAGAGGAAAAATTTAGGTCAGGCCAGCTTGATGAAATAGGAACATCTTAAGCGCGCGATGGAAGGTACGCAGATCCGGAATCCTCCGTATCTCCGGGGGAGCTCGTTCCAGATCGTAGGTGCCCCCACAGAGAAGACTCTCCCCCTGGGGGCCGCCAGTCAACATTGTTTGGCCGACAGCACCCGGAGGAGCCCCTCTCTATGGGAGCGTACTGGTCGGTGGGAGGCTATTGGTGGCAGCAGGCGGTCCTGTAAATAGCCAGGTCCTAAGCCATGGAGCGCTCTGAAGGTGATGATCAAAACCTTGAAGCGCACTCGGAAGACCACCGGGAGCCAGTGCAGCTCGTGTAGGAGAGGCGTTACATGGGAGCGCCACGTCGCTCCCATCACCACCCGCACGGCCGCACTCTGCGCCAGTTGGAGCCTCCGAGTGCTCCTCAAGGGGACTCCCTACACACGGTCACTCATGCCCTCGTCACCTCTCGTCTGGACTATTGTAACGCTCTCTACATGGGGCTCCCCTTGAGGTGCACTCGGAGGCTCCAACTGGCGCAGAGTGCGGCCGCCCGGGTGGTTATGGGAGCAACGTGGAGCTCCCATGTAACACCTCTCCTGTGCGAGCTGCACTGGCTCCCGGTGGTCTTCCAAGTGCGCTTCAAGATTCTGGTTACCACCTTTAAAGCGCTCCATGGCTTAGGACCTGGTTATCTACGGGAACGCCTGCTACCACCAATAGCCTCCCACTGGCCAGTACGCTCCCATATAGAGGGGCTCCTCTGGGTGCCGTCGTCCAAACAATGTCGACTGGGGGAGAGCCTTCTCTGTGGGGGCACCTACGATCTGGAACGAGCTCCCCCCGGAGATACGGAGGATCGCGGATCTGTGCACCTTCCGTCGCGCGCTTAAAACGTTTTTATTTCATCAAGCTAGTCTGGCCTAAATCTTCTCCCTTTTAAAATTTTTAAATTTAAATTTTAAACACTAATTTTAATTTGTTTAATTATGGGATATTTTAAAATTTAGCCAAATTGTTTAATCTGTTTTAATCTATTTTAAATTTTGTATCTCTGTGTTTTATCTTTTGGCTGTTCACCGCCCTGAGTCCTTCGGGAGAAGGGCGGTATAGAAATTTAATAAAATAAATAAATAAATAAATGCCAGGTGAAATGGCTCTGCGTGCCACTTCCGGCATGCATGCCATAGGTTCACCATCACGGACCTAGGAGAACAAGATAACCAGAGGAAGCTATGCTGGCTGACAGGAACTTAAACCTGCTACTCTGCTCTCCATGTTGTGGAAGAACACAAAAATAATCCAGTCCAAACAAGGGGTGGGGGGAATAGAAGGAGGGAGCCCTATGCACACCCACTTCACTTCCTGAAGGAAGAAGACAAATCTAATCACTTTTCTCTTTCTTACCTGATTTGGAGAGTCAATCGCTGTTTGATCCCCATCAGAAAAACCAGAAAGATTCATTCTTTGTTTCTCTGTAAGGAATAAATAATTTCAAAATGCATAATTAACAAAAAAGGTGGAGCAATTCTATAGAAGAGAAGAGAGAACAAAGTTAAGACAGATGGGCAATCAGAGGATCTTCCATTACTTCCTGAGGTATCCTGACTTGGATCTTCCCAAGAGATCCTCCTGAAAAATAGCTCCTGAGGGGGATTTGATGGGTTCTTCTTTCCCTCAGGATCGCTGATCTCCACAGTGCAACACTTTAAATAGGAGGAAGGAAAAAAGAAGCAGAATTAATGTACGTCACACGACACAAAGTGGATTCTTATATTCAGAACACAACCTCAATATCCATCCGTGAGATTGAGTGAGAAAACAAGGGAACCATGTCCTACAAGAATTGGTGAATTGCCACGTATGATGAACGCCAGAGAAGTTTGGGAAGGAGGGGTGAAGTATTCAAACACTTCCTCTATTCCCTTCTGAGCTCCCTAAAGTCTCTCACCTGTAACTGAACCGGCTCCTTCTGCTCCTCCGCCTGGCTCAGGAGGAGGCCTTCCGCCAGGGCCACCGCCTGGGAGCTGGTCTCTGCTCCACACTCCCGCACCCAGCCCTCCATCTCTGGGGGCAGGAGAGCCAGGAGCTGCTCCAGAACCACCAGGTCCAGCATCTGGGCTTTGGTGTTCTTCTCTGGTCTCATCCATTGCCTGCAAAAGCCATGGAGTCGGCTGCAAAGTCCTCGGGGACCCTCAGCCTCCAGGTATTGGATGGAGGTCCAGGGCTGAACTTCTGAAGGGAGGATGGTTTCATCCTCCAGGATCTTCTGCCAGGTTCTTGTCCAGAGCTTCGCCCCCTTCCCAGGCTGAGCAGCTGAAGGGCCTTTTCCGGCTCCCTCCTTTCCAAAAGGTTGTGTCTCCATCCTTTCTCTGTCATGCAGAGCAACTGCAAATGGCTCCAAGGACTCTGGTGGGTCTCCAGATGCCTTTTCCTTCACGGGACCATTTCTGGGGCTGCAGGACTGATCCCTGCAAGGGATTCCGCTCTTTTTCTTCTCCCCCCAAGAGAAAAGTTTGCCTTGCAAAGACCACAAATGGCTTCCAGTTTCTGTATCTGAGATGGGAAGAAAAAATAAATATTAAGAATTAGAAAGTGGAATTCAGCCACTGAGCGACCTTCCCCCAACCTGCCCGGAGCCCCAAGCGGCTCATCCCAGCGAAGAGCCCAGGTCCCCCCAGCAGGGCTGGGAAGGAGGCAGCTGGAGAGGCCGCCCAGCTTCTCTCCCCCACCTCGGTCTCTTCCCCGGATCCCCGCTTCCCCCTGCAGGGAGAGGGCGGCAGGGGAGCATTGGACCCGGGAAGAGCTCCCCCTCTCCTGCAGCCTCTCCGCCTCCTCCGGGCCTCCAGGGGTTAAGGCGAGCGAGTGCAAAGTCCTAGAGAGGCAAGGCTCCAGTGGACCAATGGGGAAGCGCCTGGAGTTCCCTTCTCTTGGCGGAGGGCGCCCCCTGGTGGATTTGGCGCGAAGTGCCAGGATGGTAGAAAGGGCGGGAAAGAGGAGAGCGTCTGAGGGGAAGGGAGAGGGTGGGGATGATGGGCTTGGGAGTAGGAGGAAAGGCCTCTCAATGCTCCCTGGCAGACAAAGGCCTCGGCGTCTCCAGGGGCGTCTCTTTCTCCGTCTCCCTCTCTTTTCCTGTCCAGGAACCGTGTGTGGCGATGGAGAAAAACTTCTCCGGAGCCTCCCTGAAGAACAGCCGCCCTGAGGGCTCTGTGGAGATCGGAGGAGGCCTCCAAAGGGGCCAAAATCCTGTCAGAAACGGGCGGGCGGTCAGAAGACGAGGACCGGGGGGGGGGCTCTCTGGGGGACTCCGGCCTGAAGGGGAGGAAGGTGGGAGACAGCCAGGGAGGCCTCCATGAGGGAAAAGGATCGTTTTTTTCATTGCTTTCTTTCATTCCATGCAGGCAGCTGCTCTTCTCAGGTGGGGCTCCCAGCGGAAGGAGAGAGACCCCTCAGCCTCTCCTGGGGAGACCCTCTCTGGCGCCCACGGAAAGGCCCTGAAGGCAAAGGGGAAAGAGGGTCCACAATGGAGGAGGAGATGAAACCTCCAGACATGGAATTCCAGCGGAGATTCTGGTTCTGTTTAGTCAGGCAAAGGCAGATCGTCAATTCCTGATTCAATAAAAAAAGCTTTGTGGGCCCAAATCCTTTCCAGGGATGGGGGGCTGGAGGGGTCAAACTCCCCCCTGGCCCAGCACCAGCCTTAGCAGCCCAGAGCCAGGTCCCCCCCAGCAGCTGAAGGAGCGGCAGAATCCCAATCTGCCCCACAGTTGTGTATCTGGATACAGCCAGTCACACAAAGTCACACATACCCGCCCCCCCCCCCCCAATCCAGGCAGCCTTCTTTCGGCATCCAGTGCTCGCCTGACCCAGGAAGAACCCCTGGGCTCCTTTCATGCTTCCCCACAAATATTGATTCTCTCTGCCATCCCCAGACGCACACACATACACTCACTGACACACATATACACAAACACACACAGAATTTCTTTCTACATCCCCCCAACACTTGGGTTCTGCTCCCCCCTCTCTCCCCGCAGCCAGCTGAGGAACTGGCCATGATCCAGCAGGCAACAAGGAGGCTTAAGCATCAACACCAACTTGAAGGCATGTAACCATCATCAAACAACTTGGTTATCGGAGTTCTCTAGTCCTTTTCTCCATCAGTTCAAGCACATTGAAGAAAGTAGTTCTTAACTTATAAAGGTTTATTTAGTGACCATTTGAAGTTACAATGGAACTGAAAAAAGTGACTTTTCACCTAATGCGCCTTCTTTTTAAAGTTTTTTAAAAAATTTTTTATCTTTTCGTGTATATACCTGTTTGGATGGATGGATGGACACACAGATAGATAGATATAGATTATAAATTGGTAGGTAGGTAGATACAATAAATAGATCTAGATGATTGATGGATGATATAGATGTATCAATAGATGGACTGACATTTTTTTAAATTTTATTTTGTCGAGTACATATTAGATAATATATATAAGTATAAGCATGAATTTAATACATAAAATGAATACAATTAAAGGGAACATTAGGATAAGGACGGTAGGCATGCTGGTGCTCTTATGCACGTCCCTTACAGATCTCTTAGGAATGGGATTGAGGTCAACAGTAGACAGTTTTAGGTTAAAATTTGGGGGTTTTTGGGATGAGACCACAGAGTCTGGTAGTGCATTCCAGGCATTAACAACTCTTTTACTGAAGTCATATTTTCTGCAATCAAGTTTGGAGCACTTCACTTTAACTTTGTATCTATTGTGTGCTTGTGTATTGTTGTGGTTGGAGTTGAAGTAGTCATTGACAGGTAGGACATTGTAGCAGATGATTTTATGAGCTATGCTTAGATCATACCGAAGGCGGCGTAGTCCTAACTTTTCTAAATCCAGAATTTCAAGTCTGGTGGCATAAGGTATTTTGTTACGAGCAGAGGTGGAGGACTCTTCTTGTGAAATATTTCTGGACGCGCTCAATTGTATTAATGCCCAATATGCAGTGCACGTTCCACACAGATGAGCTGTATTCGAGAATTGGTCTAGCAAATGTTTTGTATGCTCCGGTTAGTAGTGTAATATTACCGGAGAAGAAGCTACGCAAGATTAGGTTTACAACCCTTAATGCCTTTTTGGCGATGTTGGTACAGTGGACTTTGGCCCTTAGATCATTTGATATGAGTACACCAAGGTCCTTGATAGAGTGAGGGTCATCTACAAGATCATGTCCACTTAGCTTGTATTTAGTGTTCTGATTCTTTTTGCCAATGTGTAAGACAGAGCATTGGTGTGCCCCACCTGGCAAGTGTAGAGGTCCCCCCGCTGGGTCTGGGTCTCCAGCATCACCTGGAGCTGGTAGGTCTAGTCTCCATTCTGGAGATCTTCCCCAAAGGCCACACCCTCCTTTTCCGGCCACCCATTCTTCAGCCACTGGACCTCAACGGGTAAAAGCCCGTCGTGGTGCAGGAGGATGGTGTTGGGGGAAGTGGGGTCCATCTTGGTGGGGGAGATGGTGACAGTGGGCTTGGCTGGAGTGAAGGAAGAGAAGGAGGCACATGAGAGACCCAGAAGGGAACACTAAGTTGGTTTCTTCAGATGCCACATGGGACTGACCGTGTCCAGAGCCCTGGCAACCCTCTGATTCCAGGATTCACCAAGGCTTTGGCAGCACCATGCCAAGATCCTTGCTGAGGGGGGCATTTGGGGGAATGTAGAGGGAGACTCCCCAGACCAGGATCTCCCTGCAGCTGGCCGGCCTCCTTCCAGGTGGGGAGGAGTCTGAGTCCCAGATGGCAGCTTGCCCGGGATGGGGGTAGCAGGGAGTGTGGAAGGGATGGGGGAGGATCTTGGGGAAAGAGAAGGTGGGGGCAGATGGAGGCTGAGGAGATCAGGCATATCCCAGAATCACTGCAGAGCCTTGGACTGGATCCCTCTTGATGTGGTGTGGTCTTACTAAGGCTTTATAAAACAGTACTAATACTTCACATGATTTTGATTCTGTGCCTCTGTTTATACAATCAAGGATTATATTAGCTTTTTTGGCTGCTGACATGCACGCATGACTTACGTGTAAGTGATCATTGGTTCGGACTCCCAAGTTCCCTCTCACAATTACTGGGGGGTTTTTTTGGAATTTTTTTAAAATTTATTTTAAACATAAAACTTATCTTTTTAGAGCAAAAGTTTGATCCGGTATAAAATAAGTATAGATTCCGAATTTCATCCATTACCATCTTAAAGATGAAAAAAAGAAGAAAAACTAAAATAATAATAATAATAATAATAATAAAGAAAAAAAGGTTCTAAACCCAATTTTTCCATTCAATCTAACATCTTGTTCTAACATTTAACATTCTATTAAATATCACCCTAAATCTTAAATTCCAAATCTAAACAGCTTTTTATAATATTCATTTATCATTTTAACAATCAGTATTTCATATATTTCCCTTACTTCAAAGACCCAAATTCGGTCAGTATTTCTTCAAAATTGCATCTAAAAACCAATGCAAAGTATTTTACTCCTCTCTTACAAACCGTTCAAGATCAATTCACTTTAAAATTTATTTCTAAGATATCTCCTTCACTCCTAGGT